GGAGGGAAGTGCACGGGACTATGGTGATGGCACATGGGTGACTTGGTGATGGGAAACCCAGGGGGATTACAATTGAGATTTTTAAAAAATGTACAAAATGATGTAAAAATAAACTATAAAAAATTTTAAAAAAATACTTGAAGACCATTTTGAAAACACACGTTAACAAACCAAATACAACAGATTCATAATCCTATCTCCTACAATAAAAAGAACATTAGCACATATATATGATATACACAAAGTTTTCTAGGTATCCTTACATAACAGTGTAATCTCTTCTGTCCCATCTGCTGTTCCCCTCAGCAGTATATTTCAGTAGATCTACCTGTTCTGCTCCCCAATCTGTCTCTGGTGAATCCTCTCACTATCCCGCCACACCTTTGGCCTACACCGCAGCTCTTGTATGCATAAATGAAAAATAAATAAATACTTAAAAAAATAAAGAGAAGAATTTCATTTTCCTTGCCCCACCTAATGAAGGGTAGAGCTGAGAGGTGAGGGGAGGACTAAAAATGATTTGGGAGAGAAGACTTAGAGAATATTTTAGGAAGCACATGAAACATAGAGACATGTAAAGAAGCCAAGTTTGCTTATAAGCTAGTTTTTTTTTAAAGTGTAAAGGTGTAAGACCTTTAGTAGAAAAAACTTTAATTGAATTAGTGTGCACAGAAAGAAAATAAGAGAAAGGATATAGTTTCCCAGTGAAACACCCAGCCAAACAGGGTTAGCCCAAAGCAGGGCCACGGAGGCCCAAAATCTTGCCACAAGTCTAGGGCACTTGTGGTGATGAAGCATGGTGGCCTGAGATAAGCAGCCGGGGACCTTAGTAACAACCTTTTGCTCAGTTCCTGGTATGCAACGTAGTCCCTGGTATGAACTTGCTTCATGTTCGACCACGTACCACCATGGGGCAGCAGGATGGACCTGAGGGGGTCCACGGTGACTCACCCCTTGGTATGCAGCTATGCAACTCACCTTCAGGCATTAGCTGCCAGTGCAAACCCACCTGGAACCTTGGAGACAT